AGATGGGAAGGCTTTTGGGCGGAGGTCCAAAGTTGGGGTGGTGATATCGAGCAACTTCTGCTGGGGTGGGACACACCTTTTAGGATGAGTTTGAAAAACGGTTGTGCGCGGTAGCGCGAGTGCGGCGAAACCAACGAAAAAAACGGTTCGGAAAAAGACCAAAAGTTTGCGAAGATAGACCGCATTTTGTCCAAATCACGAATCACGCTGATATATCGGGGCAGAGGTAGTCGCCACACTGGTATTTGTTTCGAGAGGACACTGAGAGAAAGAATTTTGTGTCTTATGTATCAGAGCTAGTCATGACGTAGTTCTTGAGAGGACATGTTGGGATTTGTATGCAAGAACTGACTCTATTCTACTGCATGGGTTTTGTGCAGTATTGTGAAGGCGTGTCTCCAAGTCTGTAACCGTCAGGTGAAGACAGCTTGGGCACCTGTGTTTTGGATCTAATGATCACTCTGTGTTGTATCTACCCAAACTGCGCCACCACTGCCAACTACACAACAAACAGCAACTACAATTCTGTTGTCAGTAGTAGCGCATAGACTACTGCTGTTGATAGTCTACACATCTTATCTATTTTGTACAATACCAATCCATCAAAGTTGGTACGGCAGCAAGCGCACGCACTTACTGTGAGAACCTCTTACCTAGTTTTTGGCCGACGGGACCACCATCATCATCATAAGTCGATCCCTCCGCATGGTCCTACAAAAAACAACGCTTCATTTTCCAAGGGTCACCCACAAGTGCGCGCGGGGTATTGTTGTCCATGGTATACCAGATCGATCTTTTTGTCCGTCTCCTGGAGTACACTTCATCCTCCTCTTCTCCTTTCTCATGACTACAAAAAAAACGACCATATTCTTCCTCTTTCCTGAACAAGAAACAACCTCCTACACCCCTTTTCGGAACAGAAATAACACCACACCGCCCCCCTTCCCTTGTCTTCCCCTGTCTTCGCCCTTAACTTACGAAAATTGTCCATCTCCCCCTGGAGAGGTTAGTTTGTGTTTCCCCTGACACGTCGTT